AGCACGGATACAGAAGGCTCGACTAGCTCTTGCCAACTTGCGTCATTTATGGCGTAGGCGAGATATCCGTCTATCAACCAAAGGACGTGTTTAATGTTTTATGACTGTGGAACATGGCCGGTAAGAGTAGAGGATATTCGTAGGTTACTAGTATTTGATCATAGGTGTCTTCGAAGCATTGCTCGTATATCCTGAGACCACCGAGTAAGTAATGCAGTTGATAGGACACGGGTACTAGGTAATGATGGCAAATCGACTGATGAAGTGGTGAAACTTCATCAGTAGATATGGCTGAGACATGTGTTACATATGTCCAACCACCGACTGCCTCGACAAGTGATGTTTTATGGTGTAGGAGTAGGTTGGAAGAAGGCTAGGTGCGACCAGACCACAACACGGCACAAATACATGAAGTCATTGACAAGTGGACTGAGCCATGTTGGTAGGTGTAGACTACCTGGTTGGAATCCGTGAGATGACAGCAGCCGATGGTTAGAGCCCTTGAATGACATGGCTTAAAGTCGTTTGCAACGACACGAGTGCATCCACTCTTTGTGTTCTCCCAAATTTCAATCCTCTGAATTCTCATGTCCCTTATTTTTTCTCTTTCCAAATTTATTTCACTGGATTATATTCCTTGAATAACTTAGAACTGGTAAGGGAAGATTTTCCGTAATCCAACTGCATAGAAATGATAGTTCATGTGCTTTTGAATCCAGTGTCCACTCATAGAGCCGTTGGGATTGAGTAGGACATCATACACGATGCCTTTAAACTTCGATTTAACCCATAGGGAAAGCCTCTGACCAGGGGAGGACATTGTCCACCATTTCATTACTTTGCAATCCACTAGGACCTATTGCTCCAACATACCCTTCTGCCAAGCAACGCTTAGCAAACCTTTGTGGGTTACGCACTGGTTGAAACCAGACTCTGACTACTAGTGTTTTGACCTCGTCGAAATATTTGGTTAGGTTTGTGCTGAAGCTCGCGACAACCAACATTCTCCGAAGTATTAAAAGTGAGAATAGAGAGAACTTGAGGACGACCGAGTTACATTTGTTTTCTGATGCCCCCGAAATAAGTTATGGTGTAGTGACCTTTTGGTGGAACATCCCTGGGCACAAACCCCCGGACAGTGTTTTGTTCCATATTAAAGCCAGGGTGGCACCTATAAAACCGCTATCTGTGCCTAGATTAGAGCTAGCAGCAGTAGTGAGTACCCGAATAAGTGAAGTTTTGAATACAAGTCTTTCACACATATGTGAAAGATGTGAAATCTTGGTCTCCTGGAGGGGGTCGAATAACTGCGGACCATATGTTCGGTTCATGGAGGTAAAGGCGTACTGTTGTAAGTCCCTTGCCTCCCATCCACAAAGAGTAGTTAGCTAAGGGAGTCATGACCGAACATATCCAGATGTATCTCTACGTGGCTGGGGGGACTTCTGAGGCCTGTCTAACGGAAAGAACACACTTAAAGTCCCTCAAAACCATTTCAGTGAACAGTATTATCATTTGTTTGTTTCTTCTCCCTAAATCGTAGGTTAACCCTTTTCAGGTCTCTTTTAACCACCCTTTATGCCCTTCGCTTTTCTTTGTCGGAGCTTTTGTTATTCGATCGTGATTAAAGATGTATCTTTTGTTACTTAATTTACTGCTGCATATTCCTGGACTGTTGACAATGAAGTCGAGTTTGGTTAAACTCAAGGTCATAGCGTGGTTCAGTGTATGACTTAACTCTTGGCTGCCCTTCTGAAAAGGGTCCTCCAATCCTGGTTGGAACCATCGAACTGTGGGACTACTCGAAATATGCGATAGAAACGGGGTGTTCAGTGTTTTTGAGACGATGGTTCGACTTTTAGTTTTATGGGTAGTGAGTGTGTTCAACGTAGGTCTTATTCCATTAGTTATGCTATTGGTAACTGACCTTCAATTACAGTGGTAAAAGAGTGAAAACATATTCTCTAATTATCAGGAACGCTCTCTAACTAAGGAGACGTGGGCCCTCAGAAACAAAACTTTCACTGACCTTGCTGACGATTTTACGGATATATAGTGGTTAGCAACCGTGTCGTTCGAAACTTCTCCTCTTACGAGTGTCCGAAAGCCAAAAAACCAGATTCTGAGAATGACGAAACGAGATGATTAATTGCAGTGATGACCAACCTGTTAGATGTCCCTAACCTAAGCTGACTAATTGTCTGGGAGATGTGCAGCACGACGTACCCAGGCGTGATCTGATGTAGATGTTTGGTGTGCACATTTGGCTAGGCGTGTATCCAGTAAAACTAGTTTGATCAGCATCAATACTGGAGACTAAAAATACTCCACCTCGAAGGTTTATTTAACTCTACACTTTTAACCAATTTTTAAGGTCGATATCCGACCTTTACAGGTCTCTTTTTGAAGGTAGCGTTACGAAGTGACTGGTGTTTATGCAACATTGTTGCCACATGCACAATAATCTAGAAACTCTCCGCTCACTTTGTCCTCTAATATCAATTAAACTGTGTCTGAGTACTAGTAGTAATACTACTAGTATCACTACGAAACAGTTAAAGAATGAGGACATATAAGTGAAAATCGGTCTATTCGAAAATCGACATTTATTTCCTGATATCATATTTTCCTGTATGATCTGCTGAAAACGTTTCCATAGGGTATCTATTCTCACACTAAAAAGTCACTCGTCGTTGGGCACAAAGTACAGGACTTCATGCGGCCCTCCACAAATTTATTAATTGAAACATGTAGGTCATTCTTACCCGAGAAATTCGTACTTATGTTTGTATAAATCCACCAAAAGTTGTTTCCATGCATAAAAATCGTCGCTGCACTTCTTGAGTATAAAGTGACGACATCTTAGTATGTATAGACGTCCTAAGACAAGTTTGTCCTATAATGATATCAACTCTTGAAGACAGGATTTCTCGTGTATAATGACCGAATCCATGGATACTGTGGTATCAGTTAGCACCCTGACTTTTTTACGTCATTGAATTTCGGCTGGATCCATCAGCCCAAAACGTTGTGGGGCTGTAAATCCTAGTCCTGATTCTTCACACTTATAACTCAGTAAGTCGACGGTATCCAGGTCAGTGCGGCGTCACTCAAAGGTTGTCCATAAATTATAGTCTCACCGGATTATAATGAGATCATTGACTAACACATTCGATGAAAGACTGGATTCATACCAACAGCATTTACACTTTCTCCCTTTATATCCGAATGTTGTTCCACAATCAGTCTGTATTAATGCCTGGATTTTTAATAGAGCGGAATTTGGTTGGTTTCATCTACTACCTTAGCAGTTCCATTAACCACAATAGGTTGGTGTTTGTTATTACCTTGGGTGGCGTTCGCGAACTTACGTGACTTGTGGTGTAGGCGAGTTGTCCATTTATCAACCAGAAACGATTATGCTGAGCAGCAGTCTATTACGTTTTACTTTGTAGCCGTGAAACGTGCCTCCAATGACAAATGATAATCATAGGTTACTGGTGTTTAAACATAGATACCTTCAAAGCATTGCTCCTGTTTGTTGCAACCTCTAAGTTAGTAATGCTGAGGTTATATGCGAGGTATTAGACAAAGATGACTGATTGCTTGATACAATAGTGAATGTTCATCGACTTAAATGGTCGTAGTGGGCTATGTATGCCTATGTATCTGGTGCCCCCTTGTACCAATATTTACACATGATCTTAGCTCAGAGAGCCGAGAAGCGATGTGTTCAAATAAAAAATGTATGTTTAACCGCTGCTTCTTTGGAGGTAGGTCATGTGGTGTGTGTTGCCAACTAGGGGAAGCTAAACCCAAATGCGGCATCAGTCCATGAATTCACTTACAACTGGAAGGAGCCATTTAGGTAGGCTACCTGTTTAGGATCAGAGCAATGATCGTAACCAGTAGTTAGACTTTAAGTGACGTGGGTCAGAATAATTCACAATCTCACACATGCATTCAGTCTTTATCTCCTTTTAGATTCTGAGTTGCACAATTAATTTCACAAAGATTCTTTATTTCCACGTGTGCACATTTTCTTGAAGCATGTCTCACCCATTACCCTTCCTATTATTTTATTTATTTATTTGAACACATGAATATTGGTACAGAGGCACCGAATACATATGCGCCACACAAGTCGAGTGATTTGCATGTGGGCTATAATACTGCCCGGGTGCCCAGGCCGAAGCAGGTGATTTCCTTGGGAGGCTACACCCAGAGCCTTCGACTTAAAGGTCGGATCCTCAAGGCTGTGAAGTCCCATGGTAGCCGGTGGCCAATAGTTGGTTCATACGCCATTTGTTACTTCAGGATCCTGGAGCCCATGTGCAATATTGGTTTGGGATCAGGGTTTTCCAACTCCCCTAGGTGGTCCTACGTGTCCACTAACCCGGTTAAAGCGCCGGACATTCTGTTTTGAAATCTCAATTTCGTAAATAACACGAGAAGGCAATGAATAGGACTTCATTAACAGTGGCTATATACGCGTGGCCATGTGAGAGCATTTCGAGAGGGAGAGTGAACTCTCCCCACCCTCGGCCGTACCGGGGCATTTGGAGGCACTATTCAAGCACTGTGTCATCTTACTGTGCTGGTCTTATATGGCAATTGGAACCAGTGCACATATTTGCCAAGTTGCGCGTTACAACTGACTTACAATGTTCAGATATGTTATTTTAGGAGTCTCTTGTTGACTAATCTCACTATTCGGTGTTTTATTTTCCAGGTTATTAAAGGATCACTTTTCCGCATTTATAAACCGTCTATGATATATCCGTCGTCAATCCAAAAAGGACATTTGGTCCAATATATCTACCCAACAAAGTATGAAGTGAAAGTTATATCTGCATCAATGTCCTCATAACAATTATGTCAGGCTCAGAAGAGGATAGCAGCATTTTGTTAAAAGACTGTATGCTCGCTATACCAAAGATGGGATTATAACTCCACAACCTCTTGTCACTTGGTTTGTTGATTATTTGAATTATCCCTTTATGTATGACGAAAAATGTAAGTCTAATTTTGGCTTCTTCAAAGATCCTAAAGACACAAAAAATCATCCATTTCAAATTGTTTCTTTTATTACGCGTGATGCATTACGGAGTAACACGATTCTACGGTTTTCAGAAAAAACGGAGCTGTTTTGTTTATATCATTCTTACCGATTTACTTTTGTCGTTGACTTTAGTTGGTCGACTTTGTGTTCAAGTGCAGATGGAACCTGTTATGTAAACAGTATTGTAAAAACAATCAACCAAATTTTCTACATCCTCTCTGAACCCAGCTCTTATAGTTTTCCCGGGACTGGTTACAAGTTGTCCAACTTTACAGTTTTTTGTTCCGTGATCGTTGTTGTTCCTAACTCAAAGTGCTATACATTATTGTCTGGTTGGGTTGTTAACACTAAAGAGATTCCCAATAAAATAGCATATATTTCTCGTTCGCTTGTGAAACTTGAGCGTAAGTTTTTGGAAGACATTAAAAATAAGCGTGATGACTCGAAATATACAGGGAGACGATATGTTTTCTTATCGGACCTACTTAGACATGGGGCTTTATCTGTGTCATTACTGACTCCTATTTCAGGACCTGCCACAATCTTATTTTTCACACACGGCTGTTTTGCAACATCTGATTTTGGTGTTCCAGAATTAGTTATGTCTCATTTAAACGTAGAACATGTTCGATGTGTTTTTATTTTGATGACAGACAATATTGTCCCTGACGTCCACAAACCATATATTCCTCATAATATGTCTAAACAATCTTCTCTCATGACTGCGGGTATTCAGCAAGTGGAGTTGTGCAGTGTCTTAGCCAGTAACACTGATGGATTCGTTTTCAATATCCCGGATGAATCTCAGCATTTAGCGGTTCAGATGAACTGGTGGAATAAATTGGCCGAATCTTTGTTAGCCATTCCCATATTTCGTCATAGCGAATATACATGTTATAGTGATTTTAACCGTGACTCCCGAGTCATCCTCAAAGCAGGTTCAAAAATTGTAGAATTGCCTCCACATATTTTGTTAACAACAAGATTAAAAAGTGGATTCCGGCTTAAATCTATCTCACTAACTAAAAATTCACTGTTCCAAAAAGCCATTTAATTACTGCAGAGGCTTCTGTTTACAATAAAAATGAAGAGATGGAAGCTTGTGTTCCACTTACTGAGAATGAGAAAATCTCTAATGATTGTGTGGCCACTAAATTAAAGTTAGATCTTGTGATGGTATGGGGTGTAAATATAACATTCCATTGTTCTATACGTGGAGGGTGGACACGAATACTTTGTTCTCCTATCGTAACTGGCTCTACTGATTTCCCTACAAAGAACATACATGAAGACGCTTTGTTATCTCCCTTTTTAACTCTTTTACTACTCCTGAAAAGTCGTTGGTAGAATTGAAGGTTGAAGCAAATTATTCATTTTTACGACAGCTTTTTAATAGACATGCTTTACCTTACAGTAATCTGGAACTATCGTCAATGTTTTCTCGTCTTCCATTGCCTATCCAAATGATAACTTTGAATGATTTACTTTTAGCGCATGTTTATGAGTTCAATAGGGACCCATTTGTTCGGAAGGTTCCTGATTCATTTGCTAATCGTTTGTATCCTGTGTTTGTTATGAAAAACAATCTCCAAGGTGATTTGGTTGCAACACCAATACTACAAGATCTACAACCGACTAATAATCCTGACTATTTATCGATTCTACGCTTTATCGATTATTGGAGACTTTTCATTGATATTGACCTAGTTCAGTGCTATCGTTGGATGGACTTGCATCACATCTTCTTACTCTTGGAATACGATTCACCTCTACCACCTAACTTACATTTTCCTCCATCAGACAAGCGCGATGCTTCTCCTCTATCATGTCGTCAAGCTCTTTTCCGTGTTCATACTCTTCTCTCACAATGGTCAAGTTTTGTTTGCTCGAAAATAGTACCTATATAAAGTTGTTTCATATCGGTGACTTTGCTGTTGGGAGACTTGTACATAAATCCAGTTCTTTATCATCGATTTCTTCTGTTCCTGGGGCTACCCAGGAAACTATGGACGCGAAAAAGGTTAGTGAATGTGACGTTGGTTGCAATAAGACATGTTCGGGGGTTTCCATGTCATCTGTGTCTCATTTCTGTTTGATTCGTCTCGAATTGAAAATTCCCGAAGTTAGATTTTGCATTGGATTTGTCAATAATACTCCTGTTGATATCCAACACGAAATCATGGAGTATCTCAAAATACAATTAAAGTCTCTCCATTTTCCACCAAGAGGGCGCCAAGCTATTCCCAAATCTAGACACAAATCTGGCACTTTTCAACATGTGGCTGAGTGCAAACATGTTCCACCTCTTCAACGCTCCTGGGAGGATACACCATGTTGCACAGTCTTTAATACTAGACTTGATCGTCTTGTGATAGACTTCGGTACATTCTGTAACCCTGTGGTAAAAGCCTCAGACTGCATTTCCACTAATAAAAATAAGTCTGTCAAGCTTGACCATACTCAGGAATCTGAACGTGTGTCAAAATCATGCAAACAAAATCGGCTTCTGTTTTTACAAACCGTTCCAGTAAATGATGCGACTATCAATCCAGTATTGTTGGCTCAACATCTTCATCATTCTGTTTGTGTATGGGCAGTTTTTTCATCAACTTGGAAGTCATGTATGCAGTCAATATTCTCAAGTCTTGTGAACATTCGATTACAGGAAGGATTTCATCTAGCTCGAGTAGGTCCGCAATCCGGATTTGTGTCTTTGTTAACTGAACTGGAAATGCAATCACTTGAAATCAGTAACACTGAAACTCCATGTTTAGTTCAGTATCAAGTCTATCCAACTGTTGACCCTAAAAATGTAGAATTTCAGGGACATGATTTAGGACATTTGACTGTTATAAATAATTTTTTAAAGAGCCGTATCGATGCTGTTGTGTTAGACATGTTAAATTCACCTGACTCCTCCACGGTTCCCGAGATTAAAAAGTCTTCGTTTTCTCCTATCATTATTGCTTCCGAAATATGGATCCAGCCTGTCGATGGTGTTATTAACTCAGTTGATTCGGAAGCTGAAAACTGGTCAGGATCTACTTTTCCGAATTACCCCGGATTATTTTTAATGAAGACGAAGAGTGCATAGTTTCATACATAACACTGGATAACTTATATAACTTTGTAACCAACAAATCCAAAGTTTGTATTGGTTCTCCCAAAAAGATAAATTTACTAGGTGGTGATGCATATTTTCCACTAGAGTGTTCTACAGAAATCTGCCTAGTGTATAGTAGCATATCTAGGCTGATATCTCGTTGTTCAAACTTAATTGCTTTGTTCCCTTTATTGGGAAATGTTGTTAACAAGAAACCTTCATCTAATCTTTCAAATAATGTTCATAACCAGCGTCTGTTAACAAGTTTTCAATCACGTCTCCTAAATTCTGGTTTATTGGTGGAGGTTCCAGTTTCTGTAGATGAATTGAAAACTGTTTTTATTAAATGGGGCTGCAACATAAACTCTAAATTCCCAGAAAACACTGATATTGATCTTCCTAAATTGCGTTGTTTTGTTGGTCGGGGATCTTTGAAGCAATCTGTTGTTGATTCAGATGTTATTGATGAACCAAATCCTATGGTTACGATGATTCTTATACCAGCCACAATAGGTGATATATTTCATCCTATTATGTTTAGTATACTTACCAATCACCTAGGAACTTCTGATGCATCTAACCACCCTTCTCTTCCTGTATTTATCTATTCGTGTTCTCGTGTTTATATGTCATATCTAATTGATGACAAATGGACATATAAGGCCCCAGATACTCACATCATTGATATGCGCTCAAATGACCGACGTTTTCTCCAATCAGATAAACATGAATGTAATATTGTTGGAAAGTTATATTCTTTACCATGTGAAGTCCCAGACTGTTTTCTGAACGTGGGTTGTCAAAACGAAAGATTGACTCAAGAGTTGCACGCATTGTGGTCTGATTTGATGTTCTATACTGAAATTTTGGAGCACTCGTACAGTTATGGTTTCAGTGTTGCAATTTATCGGATTATTTTACATAACTCTATCCTGACGCTAAAGATGTCAATTACATACTTAGACACTCAGAAGTGTGTTTTCCAATTCAACCGTTGTATGTAGATCTTACATCATTCTCATTACTTACCTGTTCTCATCTTTTTCCCTACGTTCATTTGCTACACAAAAGAAGTAATAAATATCTAGAAGGAAGTATTTGTTCTAAACCTCTACCTGCTCTGGGTTGTGAAAAGCCAAAGCAATCTGCATCTCCACTGTGCTTCTTGGATTCAGAGGACCTGGCAGTTGAATTTTACATGTCTTCCGCTAATAACTGCGACTGTTGTGAAATCCAGAGAAGTTGTCTTTTCAGTACATTTACTGAGTATCTCAAACCCGTACCGAATTTGGATGGTGTTTATGTGTTGTCAAAATCCAAGTTAACGTGTCAAGGAAATCGCACGATCCGTCGTTCTGTAAGTCAAAATATCTTAAAATCTTGGAGTAAAGCTATAAATATTTCTGGTTCTAGGGAAATCCTCAGTCAAACAGACACTCGCAACGCGTACACTAGTTCGGTGACTTGTAACTTATCGGAAGCCAGCGGAGAGAGCGAGGCTTTGTGGCATTCACGCACTCTAAAATCGAATAAAGAAGTTTCGCATTGTAATCATTCTATTTCGCATTCTTCAGATTCCCTACTGCGAAAATTGGTAGAGTGGTTTCATTTAGTTACGGAAATTCGCCCGATATTTGCCCCCTATTCTTACGCATTCGTGGAATCTTGGAGTACAAAGGAACATCTATCAATGTACCTTTATGTAAAGGGATACCTACTTTCTGTGCTTCTCATTTTCACGGGCTTTTATCAGAGCTAATCTTGAAAAAGGCTTCTCAACACAACTCATCATTCAACCATAAAGTTGCATCTATGAGCAACAGCTCTGCATTAAAAATTGATTTAAGGGAATTATATTTTTATATCGAGATTCTACCTATCGTGAGACCACATTTTGATCTCTTTCCTTCTCACAAATTTAATGACAATATTTTTAAGAAGTCGCGTCATAAAGATAAAACAGACATGAATTCGGGCCGTGTACGAAATCAACATCTGGAGTCTTCAGATATCTCTCACTGTTCTTTTATGTCCAGTAGTTATTCTATTAATATGGCTTACTCAACAATGGAGGAAGAATGTATTGTTATGGATGGCTGGTTAAACCAGAACTATGTCTCTAAAATTCCGTCAATACAACAATGTTTTCTCCGCCTCTTCATTTTTCAAATGTTGTGGCATATACATGACAAGTCGGTAAATTGTATGCGTTCCCTCACTCCAGTGACGGAGAAATCCCTTGAAACTGTCCTCCAGCACATTGAAGATACTTGTAAAGCGATACATACTCCACTCTTTAATCCCTGTAGCATTTTAGTCAACCACTCGTATATATCTAGCGAAGATGAACTCTCAAAATCAAATATGGATTTCGAAAAGTCATCAGCTGTGGTAGAACAATTATGTACCGTAGCACCGAACTTTCGCAGTCTTAGAAAACAGGTTCGCATGCAACGAATACACTTGGACTTCGTTTCCTATGACACTGATGTAGTTGACCAGTTTGCGAAGTATTTTGAGAGTATGCTTGTTTCCCATTCATATGGGTCCCTTCAATATATTAATGGGTACTACTACCTTTCAAGCTTTGAAGAGACTTCTGAAAGCGTTCTAGAGAAACGACACACAAAGAGAAGTTGCAGAGACGGTAACACAACTAACTATTTTCCTGGTGTTGGAAATTTCAGCTCTGGTTTTCAAGACCCAAGTGTTACCATGGATAAGATTTCTTCACATCAGTCATCGTTTCCTGATAGTATGGCTATTGCTCATACTTCAAAAAAGAGGACACTTGCTAGGTCTCTAAAATATCAAACTCATATGAATGTTTCATATGTTGGTAATGAGTGGTGTGGAAATAAAGGATCATACTTATCCAAGCAAAATCCTTGTCGAACCCATAGATCATATTCACTTTCTAGTTTTGACTCTCATTATTCCAAAAAGGACAATGAAGCTGTCTTTAAAAGTAATCTTGTTAGAAGCAATATAAGCCTATCCGAAAGTAATTTAAGAAAAAGTATACATTCACTTGTCTTAGATGAATATATACAATCATCAAATAAATCCATGCCATTTTGGTTTATATTCCGTATTTGTTCCAACTCGGTTAGCGTTTTCTTTCATCATACAGATTTACACATCAAGAGCATTCACGGTCAAAGGTTGTGCCGAGATTTATCACTATCCAAATTTGCACTGCCTAAAAATTCATCATACCAAACTTATGAGGATATATTGTTACTTGAATGTCCGTACTGCACTATTTATCAAAATGTAGTGAGTTCCATTTATTCTGTCATTCGAATGCTCAATCAGAAGCTGTTGTTGAATAAACTCTATGATGAACGTCTATGTGATCAGCTTTTGTTGCCACCCGACGAAGTGGATATGATTACAAAACGCGAAGTAGTTAGTTCATCTGAATGTGATGAAAGCAACACTCGAAATGGATCTTTTAATGCGAGTAATTTTCGTGGATGGAAAGTCCGAAATAGACGTCATCTCCGTTCATTCATTCATCATATACCTCCAACAGATAAAGAAAAAGCAGCTTTCAGTTGTCACAAATTGAAGACCCACTCAAATAATCCTAGTCATATCGACAGAACTAATTGCATAAAATCTTCCAGAATACACAATACCAAACAACATTCCGTGAATATCGGTGGTAATCAAAAGAAACTCCCATTGCGGCGCAAAATTTGGCCACCTGGTGTATTTGCTTGTCCAGTACAGATGACCAGCTATATTTATTTACATCCTCGAGTCTTTCTTAACTGTCAAATATATTCTGTTGAAAAA